ATCCCTAATTGCCCAGAGGGCAGTTAAGAGTTTACCACTTTACCGTGGGTCAGGAGAGTCATGTAGGCCAGACCAGGTAAGGACAGGAGTTTCCTTTTGTTGTAAAAAACCATCATAGATACGGTCCTTTTTAGACCCTGAATTCTGGATTCTTATTGAATCAAATTTTGTCATCTGCCATGGTAGGATTTGAACTTGGGTTCCCAGGTAATTACCTGTGTCTCTGGATTAATAGTCAAGTGATTATACTAGGTCCCTGCTTTCCTAGAAACATTCTAAGGTAATAAGCATTGCCACAAAATCAGTGCAGATAAAAGTCATTTCCCCCATTTACTCTCATCTTTCCAGAATGCCCTATGCCTTTTCCTTATTACAATTTTCAGAGTAAATATTCATCTAGCCTCAGTTAGTTTTCTTCAAACTCCATTCTCCTTTTCTGGCCATTCAACACAGGTAGGAAAATATTTTATCCTTGGATTTGTACACTGAATTAGCAAAGGCCGGTTACAGTAACAGCAAGTAAACATTGCTGTAAAACATATAAAAGAAACAGACTCACTATTACATATCGAAGGGACATGAGCAGATGTCCAGGAAAGAAGATGTTTATTTTACTGCAGTCATTGAAATCACAAATCTATCAGAAAATTCAAACATAAAAATAAAAATGCGAAAATGAAATTCTTCATATCTACAAGAAGTTCAAAGAATCCTTGAGTAACTTCAGTGCTATCCAGTGGCTTCCAAAATCTATTATTCATTAGCATCTCTGGATTTATAGCATCAGAGGCTATTCCAGCAGGCTGAGTCTAACTTGTTTGCCATTAAAACCTCTAACACAGCTTAAGGAGTAATAATCAGGGCATGACCATGGTCTGGTTTCCTCTTTAACTAATGAGGGCAACTTTAATTGCCCTTACTGCTGCCCAGTTGAGATGAAGTAGTTCAGCTCATCTTAAGGATTGAGCCAAGGACATAATTTACAGTTATGTAGGCCTTAGTTCAAAATAGTGAGTGGATATCTGAGCCAACTGCTAACAGAGTTTCACTGTGCAGTTAAGGAGAAATAAAACTCTAGATTGGAAATAAATCTCTGAAGAAGCAATTTACACTTTTAGGCAACAATTTAATGCTGATCCCACAAAAGAATACCGAATGACAGAAGTTGCTTCTGGCACAGTGACTTAGGGGTGTCACAGTGGCTCAGTGGTTAGCACTGCTGCCTCACAGCGCCAGGGACCTGGGTTTGATTCCACCCTCGGGTGTGGAGTTTGCATAATCTCCCCATATCTGCGTGAGTATCCTCCGGGTGCTCCGGTTTCCTCCCACAGTCCAAAGATGTGCAGACTAGGTTGATTGGTCATGGTAAATTGCCCGTAGTGTACAGAGATGTGCAGGCTGGGTGAATTAACCATGGGGAGCGTGGTGTTATAGGGTAGGGGCCCGGGTCCGGGTCGGATGCTCTTCGAAGGGTCAGTGTGGATTCAATGGCCTGCTTCCACACTATAATGATTCTTCCTGACAGCTATGTTTTACTGACCATGTGGAAAAATGCCAACAAACAAAGGGCACAACCCCGTAACATCAAAGCCACGTGGTACAAGGCTCTGATGGAAAGCCTACTCCAGAATTTCCATTGTCAATTGAAGAACACTGACTAACTCCCCCTGACAAATCCAAATAGAAGGCAATGGTTTGAAAAAAACACAAAAGCATTTAAAATTCCTCCAGAGAATATACTGTTGAGTCACCGTGACCCAGACTGCAAACAGTGGGAAATCAATTCAACTGACAGGAACTCCCACTTTTAAGCTGCTGGTCTCACTGCAAGATCCTTTAAGAAGTGGCACCTTGTTGAATGAACTAACTTCATAGTTGCCAATATAAACTTAAGTGGCCTTGAGAAGCAAAAATTTGTTTTGTTGGAATTGCCGTCAAATTTCCCCGTAATAAAAAAAAGCCACTTAATACAAAAACATTACAGATTTGTTTAAGCTTTGATCTTAATCCAATCATAATCTACATCGTTATCTGAAAATCAAAATTAAAGGTGAAGAATGTTAACTGCTTGTTACTGCTAGGTTTTCAGCGTTGAATAATTTGATACAATTGGTTGCTGATAGACACACTGTCATTCACTATTGCTGCCTGCCTGGAGATCCCCTTAACATGGCATGAGATTTAAACTACTGTCAGGAAAGGGCAACTTACATCACAGAGCTGGTTGGATATATTGTGGGCAGCGTTTTTCAAGATTACAGGGAGCCCGTTGCTTCACTGTAGGTCGCCAAATTCAGGCCAATGCAGACGTCACATCATGATGAAGTGGGCAAGCATAACACTTCCTCTTCAAATCTGTCCCTGTGTTTATTATTTCTTCAATTAATAATGAATCTCATTAACTGAGAATGGCCTCAAAGGCAACAGAGACTAAATGGCAATTAAGGTAAGACGTTTAAAGAGAGCTACAGTCACATGAAAAATGACCTTTGTTCTCCTCCCCCTATCCCATCAAATATATTTTGAAAATTTTCTTCTTCACTGTCCCAAAACAAGAGAATCAGAAATAAACTGGCTGTAGATGTTTTGCCTAGACTGAACCAAGGTGGTCAAAGATGCCTGTGCTGTCTTACCAATAAATTTCCCACCTTTATTCATTCACCCCAACAAAGTAGCTGGTCTCTATTCACTTTCTATCAGCATCTAGATTAAAACTCATTATACTGATCTGCCAGATTACAGATGTAAATTGGTGCAGAGTACGGGAGCTTCAAGTTCAATATCCTTCATATATTGGTCTCTACTTGTTACTTTCTTTTTAAATGTAAATTATGGGTAAGCTAATGCCCTCACTCAAAGTGGAGATTGGAAGGGCATTTATTCAGGTAGGAATTTGTTGGGTGGGAATACCTCCACTGTCCTGCTTCTGTCCCAATTAAGCTCAGTCTTTGGTCTTCCTGCCCAGTCACCAAAAAATGCTCATTTAGTGCTTCCTGGGGAAAAGCTGCTGCATGTCACTAATGCTTGGCAACACAGGCCCTCCTTCTGGGGGTCAAGACCACTATTGCCTGGATTAAATCCCACCAGAAATACGCAGTACTTGACAGGTTTATTGAATTCCTGATCTACTATTTTCTTGTATCTGAATACATTCAATAAATGAAATTGCTCTTCCCAAAAATGTTCCTGGATGGACCCAATTAACAGTTTCAGGCAGTTATTTAGTTACACAAGGATGAACAAAGAATACAAATCTTTTGACCCAATTGATCTATGCCTATGTTTTGAATATTTTTATATAATTGAATAGTTTTCCAAGTGACCGTGTGCTTCTCAGAAATGTTACAAAGCCTTTTTAACCTGCATCAAAATATTATTACAATGTTGTCTGGCCAGGCTGAGAAAATATTATAAACTATCTTTTTACTTTTGATAAACTCCATTGCTTCACTGCTGTACAAGTCACAGACCAATTAAATTTGGCATGCTCATTAACAGTGATGAGCATGTGTACTTTGTCTCTTTTACATACAAGGCTGCTACTTTTAATATTTTCTCTTTGATTCTATCAGTTAACACCTGGGGAGTAAACTCCATGGCTACCAAAAACTAAACTGAGATTAAATTAAATTTGCACCATCCATCAGCAGCTTTGGTTTTAATGTTTTTAACATCTGCAGTTCCTCTTCCCAAAATCATTCCTAATTAGGATCCTTTCTGCTTAGTTGCAATTACCTGAAAAAATTTCTGTGAAAAACCAGCTATTTTTCAAAACCAGAAACCTGGTGTTTCAGAATCTTGGTAATTCATTCAACTCTCTGGCCAGTGTCAAAAGTTAAATAATTCCTAAAGCTACACTGTCTCTTCTATAATCCAGAAACATTTCCTTCAGCAAAAAAGATTGCCAACATTATGGTGGAAATGGTTCCCAAAATAAGACCAATCGACCAGCTCACAACTCTGAAAGTTGCATTGTGTACAATGAAGTACACATTATATATTATGCTAGTTTGGAAACAAATAATTTTAAGAAACAGCAAAATGCCATTATGGCTCAACAAGCCTGACTGTGTTTCAGAGGCAATTTTATCCATTTTGAAGTCATGTTCCTCATTATTTCATGTTGTTTACAAATACACCTAATTATTCCTCAATTCAATTTATACTGCCTGCTTCAACAAATTGCCTGCTAAGTTGATCCGCAGAACATCCATCTAATTTCCCTTTTTGCTCTTTTAACTTTACTTTTTTAAACACTGTCTGTTAGTATAAAAAAAGACATTCTAAAAGACTTTTGTCAGTTCCCTTCATAGACTTGACGTTTTCATTTCAATGCCCCTTTTCCAAAAAAATCCCAACTTTGCTCATCTTTCATATGTTATTGACTTTTCCTTTGCTGATTTGCCTATTCTGTCCATTCTTTCAACCCAATCTTAGTTTCCTGTCCAGACCCTGTCAAATATTATGTCACCGCATTTCCAGAGGCCATTAGGTGCTCAATCCATTCTAATTTATATCATCAACTTTATTCGCTCTTGATTCTTTCCCCGTCTTTATTTGATTTATTTATTGCCAGGTGTATCTTGTAACAAATGCAGTAAAATGTATTGTATAGTGTTGCCACTCTCCAGTGCCATCTTAAAACATAGAAAAATAACCAAAACATTGAATAAAGTGGCAGAAAAATGAAGAAATAAAGGAAGAGTCCAACTTTCCAGTCCTTCTTGTTAAGTACTTTGTCATGGGCTATGGGCCTGGTAGCCAGGCATGAGTCCCCTACGCCACACCACTGCCACATTAACGAAAATCACCACTCTTTGGCACCATCTAGCCTCCACCAACGCCCTCGCTGGACCTCACCAATACAGACACCACTGATGCTGCTGGGTACTGAACTGGCTCAAACTCAACTCTGCATTCGCCATGAGTCAACCTTGGGCCCACCTCGCTGATGCAGCCACTGCTGGTGTTGCTGGGTCTCGTACTGGGCCCAAACTCACCTCTGTCTCCCGGAATCCACGCTGGAAGCAGACGCTGCCCGGAACCCAAACTTGCCTCTAACGCTGCCGCCACATTTCCACGTTGCTGAGCCTGCTTGCCGCTGCCTATTGCCATGTTTTTTGAGAAGATATGTACATAAATATTTATATATATATCCCATCATCAAATGACAGAATCCTCAAAATTGGTTCAACCTTGATTTCTCTTCCTTTCTTAAATTTTACCTTTCTTGCTTGACAGCATTAGTTAATGGAGGATGCAGTTCTACTAACATTAGTCATTCTCCAGTACTTTGAAACTTATTCCTCATGCATTAACTTAAGAATCAATCTGGAGGCTAATTGAACGTGGGAGACATCATGGCAGATATTTTTATGCATTCATGACATGTGGGCTTTCTGGCTGGGCCAGCATTTATTGCCTATCCCTAATTGCACTATGGGCGGTGATGGTGAGCTGCTGTCTTGAATCGCTGCAGTTCTTGAGGTGTAGGAACACAAATTGTGATATTAGGGAGGGAGTTCCAGGATTTTGACACAGCGACAGTGAAGGAGCAGCAATATAATTCCACATCAGAATGGTGTGGCATGAATGTTACTTGCCATTTGTCAGCTCAAACCTGGATATTATCCAGCTCTTGCTGCTTTTGGATATAGATTTCTTCAGTTTCTCAGGAGTCGTGAATATTGGTGCAATCATAAGAACGTAAGAAAATAAGAAACAGTAGTGGCACTAGGCCACTTGGTCCCTCAAGCCTGCTCCGCCGTTCAATAAAATCATGGCTGATCTTTTCATGGACTCAGCTGCACTTAGCTACCCGCTCACCATAACCCTTAAATCCTTTGTTGTTCAAAAATCTATCCTTGTCTTTAAAACATTCAATAAGGTAACCTCAACTGCTTCACTGGGAAGCGAATTCCGCAGATTCACAACCCTTTGGGTATCATAAAAATGTCAAGTATTAAATTTCTGCTCATCATCAATGCCAACTGCATCTTCTACACTGAATCACTACACAGTACCGTAAGAAATAGGAAAAGGAGTAGGCCATTCTGTCCCTCAAGCCTGCTGTGCCATTCAATAGAATTGTGATTGATCTACATCATTATATCCTTCATTAGTTCCAAAACCTGACAAACATACTGAATGAAACCTATAAGGTGAAGTGCACAGTGAATTATCACTGCAGGTCAAAAAGTTCAGCTGACCCAAGCGAACAAAAGGGTAACATCTTGTTAACAGCAAAATGTGAATCATTTAAAAACCAAAATGACAGCAGAAAATCTACTTTTGGAGTAAAATAGTAATTTAGTTATAAGATAATTTCAAAATCTTTCAGACATTCTCAAATACACCACTTTTATGTGTTCTGAAGCTCAGTCACAGTCACACTTAGTCTCTTGATCAAGAGACTGAGTCATTGCTGGCAGGCACCTGTCAATGTCAAACACAGCTGCTAGTCTCAGTTAGATTAACAGTTGTTTCTTTCTACTTTCTCTCCTACCCTGTGTGAGAAAAGCTCACCTGCACAAGAACACTCATTAAATTTTGTAATGGTTAATTATATACGGTATATAAACAGAGCATTTTTACATGTTTGATGGACCCCATCTTTCTAGGTTCTCCTGGGAAGTCTTTTGTTTTGCATAAAGACGGTGTTATTGTAAGTGGTTTGCAATATTTAGGTATTCTAAAACATAAGCCATGAACCATGATATAAGAAACAACAGGAATGAGGAATGCATATGCACGAAGGAAATTTAAATTGCACCAGTACTCCTCCAATAAGTCATAAGTGGATCAAAATTACTTGTGACAAAAAAAACTTTGCATATTGAATCATCTTGTAAAAAAAGTGAAATTATTTTCACTGCATATATAAACAGTTTTCAGAATTTGAAATGCCAGAAAATGGAAGAATTTCATCCCAAATGGTCATTAACTTTCATTGTTACAGATTCAGCATTTCATAATCAATGGAAGTTTTTTTTATTAACTTTGAAATGTACAGTATAATACTGTACATATTAATTGTTTTCTATTTTCAGATATATCAAGAAAATAATCTGATCAGAAGTATCATCTGTAAAGTAATAAGCAAGCTCCTCTCCATCCACTTTTACTTCTCATCAAAAGTGGTGTGTGCTTTGTAGGTTAAATTCATACAAAGATGTTAATTGTTTATGAGGGAAAAGAAGAATGTGAACATATTATTGCAATGTACAAATTTTTGGAATACATGTCAAAATACAGTAAGGGCTCTAATGTGCTAAGCCATTAGCTCTGCCTTTAATCTCAAAACATCATAAAATGAGCTAATGTATCATACAATACCAAAACTTTCACCACTAGTCTTTCAGATACCATTTCATCAATTGCATGTGCTTCAAATACACATTCACATTACACAGACGCAGCAAGAAAAACTGTTCGCTGGTGACAAATTACAACAAGCGCTTTGTGGGGCACTGGCAGAGCAAGACTGGAAACAGGAAAAGTTCTGGGTTTGTAATAAACACATGACTGAGCGAAGACAACAAGCAATGAATGTGCATGTAGGAACCCTGGCGCCCACCACTGTTTACGTATCACTTCAATGTACACTGGCAGAGACTTCAATTTGGAACATAGATGTTCATTTTATGAAGCTGCACAATTTCATTTGTGACTAACTGCTTGCCACAATTAATTAATCGGATTTAAAGAATGGAACATTTCCCCTCTGCCTATAAATCCCATAGCCCTAGAACCATATTTATATTGTACCACTAACTAGATCCCTGGCACACTAGTAATTTGCCTTTGATGTACTACCAATTACATGCATAAACTACATCGTTCTCATTCATGCTTTTTTGAACATGGTTGAGAATGTAATGGCAAGTCACTTTCTTGAATCCCAGCAGGCTGAGAGGTAGGCAAACACAGTGCTGTGAGTCGGGTGTTCCAGCATTTTGAATCCAGTTATGATAAAGGAACAATGATATAAAAATAATATATTTTCAAGTTAGGATGGTGTTCAATGTGAAGGGAAACAAGAAGACATTGCCATGTTGACATGAGATGTTGTCCTTACTGTAGCAGATTTGGATGGATCTGTTGAGGAGGCATTGGAACCTAATTTCAGAAGATGTTTGCAACCAAGTTAAAGGGAAAAAAAACTTTCACTCATATTGCATCTTCCACAACCTCTGGAATTAACAAATCCTTTTAGTCAATGGTGTATGATGCAGTTGTTATTGCAATGTTGGCAACACAGTTGACAAGAATCACATAAACAGTAATGTGTTAGCAACCAGATATTTCATGTGGTACTGGCTGAGGGATAAAAATATTTGTCAAGACACGAAAGAAAGCTCTTCTACGTTTCTTCAAAACAGTGTCATGGGAGCTCTTATGTTCACCTAACAAGTGGACTTTATCGATTCAGTTCAGGAAGCGTATCAAACATCAGCTTTCAGAGCTTGAAAGGAGAATGGGTACCAAGGTTCAATTTTCCAGAGAGGGTTCAATAAGACTATGGCAGAACCTGAAAGCAAGAAAACTGAAAATCAATGCATGACAAAGTTTGTTGAAATAGGATTCTGATGGAGAAACCAGTGAGGGTTCTCTGTGGCCTGCTGTGTTCATCCAGCTCTACACCTTGTTATCTCAGCTAACTTACATCATTGTTCTTGGCCGCACGAGCTGGAACAATAAGCTAGGGAAGAACACATTTTCATGGTGTTGGTGTGGGTGAATTCTAGGGAGAAGGTGAAACAGTTCTGTGACTTTAATTCTATTTTCCCACAGCTTTGCAAAGTCTCAAATGAATGTTGGCTCTTAATTAGGTGTAGAGTTAAACTATTTCTGTATTAACTATTAATCTGCACTCACAATCTGCAGATGTTTCCTTTTGCCAACTAAGTGAGTTTAATTTGAGCTGCAGCAAGTATAATTTTGCTTATGGTTGACAGGAAGGTGGAAAAAGTGACTAGTGTAGAATTTTTGTTTAAATTATTACACTTAACAATTTGATTGGACCACCTTTCCTTTTTCTAAAATTACCTTGCTTAGTCACTCAGTTGTTAAATGTTTGCACAAGGATTCTGTGCCATCTGCTTTTTGTTTTATTGGTATGGTGTCTGTCTGTGAACTGTGATGACTCCCTATTTTATGAAAGTAAATGCAATTTTGTGTAAATCTAATTCAACAGTGGGTTGGAATTTGCATATTAAGAAAATGGAAACTTTAGCTGAGACATAACAAACAAATGCGTTGTATAGGACGTTCGTGCGCGTGTTTGTACATAAGTACACAGCAACAGGAGTTGTCATTTACTTAAGCCTGCTCTGTCATTCAGTTAAATCATGTTTGATCTGCATCCCATCTGCCTGATTTGATCCATATCCATTATTACAATAGTCAAGCAAATATCAATCTCACATTTAAAATGTTCAATTGGCTTGTAGTTTTAACCTGTCCTTCCAGGAGGAGAGAAGTTACAGATTTCCACTACCTTCCCTGTGAAGGGATGCTTTCTAACAATCCCTAGACGACCTTCTTCCAATTTTAACATTATGGCCCATTGTTCTGCACTCCTTCAACAGAGAAAATAATTTCTCTTTGTCAATACAATTAAAACCCGAAAATCACAAAGGAAACCCTATTTGGTTCACCTCTAATTTTCAAAATTAAAGAGAATGCAAGCCAATTTTATCAAACATGTCCTCACAATGTAATCCTTTTGTGCCCAATATCATTCTGGCGTATTTGTGCTGCAGTCCCTCCAAGACCAATATATTCTTCCTGAGGTGAGTGGCCAGAATTGAATGCATGCACAAGTGAAAAGCAAGATCCATTTGCATTTAAAAGTGCCTTTTGACCTCAGAATTTCCCCAAAGTGCCTTACAGCTAGTTTAGTGCATTTTGGAGTACAGTTACCATTGCCCTGGGGGAAACAGGGTGGCCAACTTACACACAAGATCCACAAAGAGCAATGTAATAATGAAATACAGAACTTAATGGTTGCTTAAAGCAGACTAGAAGTTGATGCCATTCATCTTGCATGTATCAGATCCAGGATGCAAGAAATTGGCTCTAAAAAAATGGACACTATTTCACATAGCATGAGA